TTTTTTTGTGGGTTAAGGGGTGAAACTGTTTATCTCAAACCTCTTTAATTTAGTTTGGATGAGCTCCTGCACAACCTGCCTGGTACCCCTTTGTCTTCGCTCAGTTATGCGAGTGAGGCAGCGATGTGTCCGTTTATCCGAGTTTCATTTCTTTTATCGGCGATGTCGGGTCCTCAGTCAGGCCGTTGTTGGGCGCTGACGTCGGGGATAAAGGAGGAGGAATGGCTCCTCGGTGGTCCCCGTTTTGTGGACCGGAGTGAGCCTGATTTCTGTTTTGTTTTGGCGCTCTGACCCGTTTGTGGCGCCGGCCCGTGCGGCCGCGCAGCGCCTCCTGGACAGAGCTGGTGCCAGTGCTGGGTCATGTGGGGATGAATCACCCGGGGGGCCCCCCTCCACTAACCGGAGGTGTCCCGCCGGGCGGCGTCCTGCAGTAACTGCAGATCCTGCCTTCAGGATCATTTCAGGACTCTCTTTTGAGAAAGGAAAGATGGAGGAATGCAAAGTTTCCTTCCTTTATCGCCCATCTTTCCCTGCCCGGGATCTTTGTTGTGCTCTGCAGGAACGTAAGGCCTTATAAGGGCAGCGCAGAGCAGCAGCTGCAGGAGTCCAGTCCCGGCCAGCCCGAACGGTTCAGTGTCAGGCTCACACGTGTACAGCCCCTAGGCCCGGAGTCCTAATCCTCGGCCCCGACTCCGCGTTGCCTTTGCCAGATCGCATCTTTGCCCCCCCCAGCCGCCGTTTGTAATTTCTCCCAGGCCCTACCCACCCCGTATCAGAGTCCGCTGCCCACATTCCAGCGGGGCTGCACAGCCTGGCAGTGAAACGGGACACGGGCAAAAAAAAGGGAAGGGAGCAGAGAGGAGCTGTTTGAAGCCGACCGCGGCCTTCACGATACATGAGCGCCCTGCTCCCGCCTGTCCTCTGGGATGTGGATGGCAGCTGCTACGGAGCAGATAGGGAATGATCGGCCTGTGATGTCACCCCACTGGGCGTCTTCACTCCTGTGTGGTGGGGGGGGCAACATCAGCTGTCGCGTCTTAACAAAAATTCTTAGGGATGCAAAGGGAGATTTGGTGGGCAACAAAAAGATGAGTGTCTGAGGGAGACTAACCCAAAAAGAAAAAAGGAAGGGCTTAGCTCCAAAACATACATTTTGAATTCAAATTCCTCGTGAAAACCTGTTTACCCCTTTAAAGGTGGGCCCAGGTGAACCAGCTTAAGGGGAGTTGCGGCATTAGATCACTCACACAGCCGCGGGGAGCCCAGCTTTTTAAGTGCTCTTTCAATCCTCCAGCACAAAAAGAGTATTCTCCATCTACCTCTCCATGGTCCTCGCCCTCTTCCCCAAGCATTTCCTTTGCTTGCTGGCCTCTCAATCAGCGGGGGGACGCTCGCAGAGCCTGCTTGGAGTGGGAGTCGCACAAAAAAACGCAGTAATAAACCTGCAATAATACAACAGTGGGTGTCCCCCGGATCCTTTATCATTCAAATGGCGTGGCCTTTCTGGGTCCTGCAGCGGAAGGCCACTCATTCATACCGAGAGAGTCAGGGAGATTATTGCCAGTGTAAGATGGACTCTCAAAAGAGGCGGGCCATTGTTCCCCGCTGATCCCATGAGCCAAGATCATTCTTCAATTCCAAGACCCCCAGTTGGCCACATTCAAGCCCTCGTTTCACCATCTGCACATCACCCCGAACCACCCCACCCCACCCCACCTCTCACCCGGTGTATTTTTTTCCCCATTAATCCCCGCAGGAATGCGGCTTTGGTTATGGAGAGGATGCCCGGTGCGTGCCCTGCCGGAGCAGCCGCTTCAAAGAGGACCGGAGCCTGCAGAAGTGCAAGCCCTGTCTGGACTGTGGGCTCATCAACCGCTTCCAGAAGGGCAACTGCTCCACCACCAGCAACGCAGTGTGTGGGGACTGTCTGCCGGGGTAAGAGAGCAGTGCAGGCCGCTGGTTTGAAACTCCACATCACATGTGTGTTTTGGCTGACATCTCTTTGTCTTCAACAGATATTACAGGAAGACTAAATTAAGCGGATTCCAAAACATGGAGTGCATACCTTGTGGGGACCCTCCGCCTCCGTACGAGCCCAACTGTGAGCACTTCCGCTTTCTTTCACCTCTTTTAAAAGTTGGCACGCACGTTCCCATGAACCAGGAGGGTCACCCTCAGTTCATCGGAGGACACCTTTAAGCATGAGACAACAGGGAGACAGTCATCTGAAAGCAAACATTCCCACTAAGAGCACCAAATGTTGCAGGAACCATAACCCCGGCTGCAAAGCTCACAGCCTCAACATGCCAGCACAGGGTTCCCAGTATAACCAGAACCACAACCTTTGAAAGGGTGGAGCGAGTCCCACCGGGCCACAGATAAAGCCCCACACTTGAAAAGCCAGAATGGATCCTGCTAAGATAACAGAGGCTTTGCCAGCCCTGGATTGCATTAGCTCAGGATGTGACGCTGGTTTTCAGCATTCGGTCGGGATTAAACAAGCAGGCGTCCTCCGGCAAAGCCTCTGTTGATGTTTCTCAAAAACCTAACGGGCTGCTTCCAGCAGCGTAATTTGTGGTTATTATGCAAAAAAGGAGGCAGGAGGCATGTTACATTACGTCCACAGAGCAGGGCTCTCATTCCACAAGCTGCAGATCCAATTAACGTCTTCCTTCTGGCCTTGATACGCGGTTAAGTGCAATCTTATGATTCCAGGTTTCCACATAAAACCAACAGGCCAGTGGACTCCTGCCTTTGCTAATTGAGTGTGACTTCCTGACGGCAGCTCTTTCTGAGGCTGGTGCAGCCCTCAGCACTCACTGTTTGGCCTTTAATCTTTTGTCTTTATTAGCGTAGTTTTGAAAAAAAAAGAAAATAATTATTTTTTTATTTTATTTTACGACCTTGAAACAATTGGCCTACCCTGTGTGCTCATTTGTCCGTGTGGGCCGTTTCCCGTCCCGATACCAGGGGGAGGCCTGTGAAACAAAATGGCCATTGTGTCTGGGAACATTGCTGGTAGTTAGCTCCTACAGGGACGGGACTTTTGGTGGAGCATTTCCAAATGTTTAAAAGCCCCCCCCCCGACCCCCTCCCCTCCCCTCTCCCTGTTATCTTGAGGAGGGTGGTGAAAACTTAAAGGGCAGATCATTCTTATGGGCTGCGCCGGCCTGGGGCTGGCCAGCAGCAGCTGTGCCGGGGAGGCAGTCGCTGTCTGTGCCGGACTGTAAATCTTAGCCCCCCCCCCCCTGCCCGGCGTTTTGGAGCCGGGTAAAAGGTTGTTTTTTTTTCTAAATGGATTCCTTCTGCCTCTTTAATGCTCCTCATCTGCTGGGGCCTCAGGCCGTCCGGCTGGACGTTAGAGCGGCCAGCCGTGAGGCCCCGGCCGGCGGCTCTCTGTGGCTCTGTCCGCGTCCACTACAGCCGGACTCAGATAGAAGGCAGGCCGGCTCTGACGCTCCAACCAGTAAAGCCATATTAAATGTTAATGTCTTTTTTTACTTTTTGCGCTAACACCATGATTTCTAATCAAACCTTAGCTTTGATTTCTATGGAAAATGAAAATCTGCAGTATTGTCGTGGAAACGAGTCAAAGGAACCCGGCGGTAACCTCGGCTCAGCTCTGACCACGGCCGGCACAGACCGCAACCCCCCCCCCCCCCGGCATTCAAAATCACATTTCCAGAGTTAATCTCTCTGCCAACGCTGGGCAGAGGGGATCGATATGGAGGCTGCTCCTTCCTCTGCCTCAAGTCAAACTAAAGACGGCTATCAGACTACCACCTGGTGTCTATTGCAGTACTTCTTTAAAAGAAGCGAGCCCTGTAAAACCTGCACCCTGCTCCACCAGCTTTAACCAGGGTTCCTCCATGATTTGGAGGACTAAACGGGGCTGAAAGTAAAAGAGAGCTCTTTAAATTTCTGCAAAGAAAATTGGCTTATCAGATAAAAAAACAAAGAACTTTTAAGGACTAAGATCCTATACGTTGGTGGTTGGATGACCAAAACACACCAATCCTGTGGAGTTCCTAGATATTTGAAGTGCAGCGCCGGCAAAATAAGCGCTTGAAAGCAAAGCTCGAATTAATCTCTCCAGGTGGAATTCCCAGCTCACGGGAGCCCCGTCAGAAATGTGTGTACATTCTTTGGCTAAAAAGAAGCTCTTAGGAGAGCACTGACAAAAGTCAAAGACCCGTCAGAGGTGTAAAGGAGTGCTCCTTTTATTTTGGACTATATTGCATTCCATAAAGTCAACAGGCGGGGGAGTCTATGAAAGGCTGCGGTTTACTGCTCCGGTTTGTGAGGAGATAATATCAGCAGGTGAGGCCTGTTCAATGGAGCAGTGTTTATCTGCGTCTGCTGCAGCTGCAGGCTCTCCGATAACAGGCTGCCTTTGTGCCGGCGCTCACCTCCGACCAGCCCAATCTGACCTCCGAGACCGGGCCCACAGGACGGACGCATGTCCGACACAGCACAGGAGTCCTGAGTGGCTTTGACTCACTAAGAGCAGTTAGAGGGTGCTAAAAAAACAGGGCCGGGCGTTATTATTTGGTTTGTTTTCTCTTAGTGCTGCAGCGACTTTAAGTTTTCAGTTCACATATGAGTTTATCAGCTTGAGTGCAGACGGAGCCTTTAAATATAAACGAGGGATGTTAAATTGAAGCCACTGGAATGCGTCATGCTTCTGACATTATGTCCTCTTCGGTGCTTTAATCAAATTGATCCTCTGCAGTGCCTCCTGGGTCTAGCTCTGGAGCAGCCCCCACCCCCTTGGAAGGAATGTTAAAATACCCTTATCCCCTATCTGTCTCAATTAAACAATGAAAGAAAAGGAAAAGCTAAGGCTAAAGTAATGTTTACATGGCATAACAAAGAGCTCTTGAATGAGAAAGGGCTGACACTGGTTCCCTTTATGATTGATATACTGAAAAGCAAACAGCGGAGCTAACTCGAAAGAGAAAAAAAAAAGGGAGATTTTCTCAGACAAGAGGTCGTTTATTAGAGCAGCATACAGGCTTTGTTGCTCTGTTTGCCCGGCTCCGACCCTCACCCCCTATCTCGGGCACGTATTGATCAGGAAACTTGTTTTTAGAACTCCAAAGGATGGAGGTTAAATGAGGTGAGCTGGTGGCCGACAGGGCAGCACGGTGGTCAGCAAGAGGGCTCCTGGTTCCCTGGAATCTTACAGCTTTTTCAGTGATGATCTCTGCTTGTTAACTCAAGCGGCTGACCAATCAGAGATCACCAGAGCAGTAAAGAGACAGCAGCTAAAGCGAAGCGCTGCCCTGGTTTACTACTTTAAAACTTGAATGAAATCCTGTTTTTTTTTTTTTTAAACTGCGTTTAATACGAGATAGCTTTAGTTTTTGCTAACAAAAAAATGCTGCTGTAATTTTAACCAACTCAACTGAGCACAGTGGGGAGCCTTTTAGAGACTGAAGGTGATGAGATGGTGCATTTAGTTTTTTTTTTGTTTCCTTAATCTCTTTTAGCACATCCAGAAAGTAAACAAACAAACAAACAAAAACTCATTTGCACATTGAGTTGACATTTTGGAAGCCATTTGCACAATTAAATGAGAGTGTAAACAGTATGACTTGTGCTACTGTCAGAAAAAAAATGCTTCTCCTTGCAAAACTTTTTGGAGGAACATTTGATTTGATTAAAGGATAATTATTGGAGCTGGAGCCAATTCCTGCAGACCACAGTTCATCCGTCTTGCGCTGCGATGCTGCAGCATTAGGCTGCATCGGGCGCCCTTATTGTGGGAACTTGTAAAAGGAGCTGCATTCTTGAACTCTTTACACGAGCGCGTGTGTCAAGGGTCCCGAAGGCGGAGGCCAGCGCTGACATCACGTTTGCCCCTCCGGCGGGGGGAGAGCCCTAATGGGGCTTAATCATGAAATCGGCGCGGTGGCACGCACGCACATGTGAGAAAAATGCTGTGAAATGTCAGGCTGCGCACACTCACGTCTGCCCAGCATGTGTGCGGGACCCTGGGGCCGGAGGAGGAGGTGGGAAGCGTCTGTAAATCATCTTCTGTGGAGGATGAGACAGAATCAGATAAAGAGGGAATCCACCACAGGCGTTTTTTTTTTCTTCTCGTTTTGAACTCCTCTACTTATTATTATTATTGGAATTATTATTAGACTTTAAGCAAATGGATGGCTGGCCCGAGGCGCAGAGAAATAATTATTCTAATTGGCTGAGGAGTGCTGGATAATGTGGAGCAAACGAGTTACCTCTGTTCTGTGTGTGCCCTCCTCCAGTAGAACATGCTGCGTCTGAAACTGCAAAACAAAAGTGACTATTTGGTTATTAATGCTGGTGCTCGCCGTGTTGCAACAGGCCGTGCAGTTTCCACATTCACCCCCCGTTTATCCCCCCCCCCCCCCCTCCCTCTCCCAACAGGCAGCGGGCGTGTGAACCTGGTGCCGCTGCCCTCGGTGGTGACCAGCCCGCGGGACGTGGCCCTGGCGGCGGTCATCTGCAGCGCTCTGGCCACCGTGCTGCTGGCCCTGCTGGTGCTGTGCGTCATCTACTGCAAAAGGCAGCTGCTGGAGAAGAAGCCCAGCGGTGAGTTCGCCCTCTCCTTTTATTTTGGGGGCCTCTCGCTGCGTCACCAGTCCAGACTCCCGGAGCAAAACAAAGGTCAGGGGACCTGCTCCCCAAAGGCCAGTGAGGGCCTCAGTCAGCCTGCCGCGTCCATGCCAAACAGGGCGCAGCGGCTGAGATTCCTCACAGCCTGACTCTGGCATATTTGTGGGAACTTGTATAATGAGCAGCATCGGCGAAGCCAGAAGCCTGGAAGTATGTGAAACGTCCCGGGGCGACGAACGGATGACGTCACGAGCGAGGCCTTCTCGTTTGTGTGTTGCCTGTCTTTTTTTGTTTTTTTCACCTTTTCGTACCGCACAGTGAGAGCAAAGCCAGCACTGGAATTAATTGTTAAACAGACGCCGCACGCCAACAGTTTAAGGCGTTCAACAAGCTGAACTTAAGCTCCGGGCTCATGCCGTGGTGTGGTTGTGTGTTCCCAGCTACCTCCCTCAGGGCTCAGGACTGTCCGTACAGCGGGGCGGAGCTCTCCTGCCTGGACGCCCGCTGGCTCCACGACTGTCCCCAGAGGCCGAGCTGCCAGTGTCAGCTGGGCCCCGGGCACGCCTGCGGTAGGTCGGGGTCTCACGCGGAAGAGCGAGGCGAACTGAAGAAGACCTGCGTGTGGTAATGAGTGTTTTCCTGCGGTATGTTCAGGTCCGGTGCACCTGATTCCATCCCTGTGCTGCGATGAGAGCTGCCGCCTGGACATCAGCCCCTTTCAGTCCCAGACGAGCCTCAGTGACAGGTGAGGGGGGGTCATAGTGCACAATAAAGGCTACTTAACGTAATGGAACAATCCAGACTTAAGGAGAGGAGCGATCTCTGAGAAAAAAAGACGTAAACTTTTATGACTCTTTGATCAAGTAAAAGTAACAGCTAGTCATGAATGCAGCGCATATATATATATATATATATATACATATACATACATATATACATATATACACACACACACACACACACACACACACATATACACATACTGTATATACAAACACACATACATATCTTGGCCTTTATATGACTTAATACTCTCTCATAAAAAAACTAATTGTTTATTTCTAAAAGAAAACATAAAAAACTCAATAAACAACTCTTAGCTGGGAAAGCAGCAGCTGGACCGTTTGGAGAGAAACATCCCATATTGTCTGATTTAGGATTCTAGCTGCTCTTCATCCAGTTCCCTGCAGGATGTAATGCGCCTCCACAGTTTTAACGAGGCCTCAGCGTATGTCTAGTAGGAATTGTCAGACTGAAACGATTCTGATCTCGCACCAGTTTTTCTTTTAACTCTGTCCATATTAGCCTGAGCGAGGGCCCGAAGTTCCCGCTGTGCTCCCTCCAAACAGATGTCTCCAGATTCTCAGAATCTATCTATGATATAACCTACTGAAGACGATGGGCTTTTTAAAAGGCTTTTCCCCGTTTCACTTAGAGACTCTGCCTCTGATGTTCTGATGTTCACTTTTTGCACAATATGCTCCATTTCCTGCCGTTTCTTTTTGTATTTTTCCAGCCTTTTGTTCCTCCCGTCCCAGCTTTTTCTAAGACATTTGGCACTTTTGAGAAAATATTTTTTGTGGGAAAAATACTGTCTCACATTAAATGTCTGATATACAGTGTTTCTCTTTTCTATGTTATGAGGAACCTTTCAAACATGAAAATAATTCATCCTAAACTAGGACCATAACTAAAACTAATAGAATAGGATGCTAGTTAAGCAGTAGTTAAGGTGTGATAAAGTTCATTTTCCCAAAAAAGAAAAGCTAAAAAACAGAAGCGTTGGGTTGTTTCCAGAAAAGCAGACCCACGAGTCGTTTTTTTTTCTTTTCTTCTTCAAGTTTCTTCCCGATGCTCCTCAGAAATACGAACCTGGAGGAGGAGGAGGGGGCGGAGGGACACCCGGAGCCCGCTGGGAGGACAGGAAGCTGCGAGCCTCTGGAGCATCTCGGGTCGTCCAAAACTGGACCTGCAGAGAGACCTGTGGTGGAGAAGGAGGAGGAGGAGGAAGTGGAGGAGGAGGAAGAGGAGGAGAGGCCAGCGCCCACGGTGAAGTCGGCAGCAGAGGGCTGCAGCGGGGCAGGGACAGAAGCTCTGCTTCCCAAACTGCAGGTGCTGACTCAGGACGGTGAGTCGGGACCTCGCTGCTATTCACCGGAGAGCAGAACTCAGACAGACGAAAGCTCAGGGTGCTTTTACAGTTTTTTTATTAACTAATCCCATAAGAATCAATTCTTTTTCAAACAGCCTCCCCAGACTCAGAAAAGACAAAGAACACCTGAAATAAAGTCCCTAATCCCCCACACAGTTTAAGCCAAACATCACCTGCTCGTCTTTTTATAGAGCCGGCTGCTGCTCTGCGACGGAGCAGCTGGGAGCGGAAACACAAGGCTGCACGAGTTCTTTGATATGGAAACGACTTTCCTGTTTTGATTTTAGGCTGGCCTCTGTCCGGCCCAGGCCAGATCTGTTCCTAATGTACGTGTGTGTGTGCTCCTCTCCCCAGGATGATACGGGTTTCTCCGGCTTGTGTTCCACTCCTGAACCCCTCTGGACTCCGACAACGGCCAGATCCCGTCTCAGATTGCCCACCAGTCTCTCGACACACACACACACACACAATCACAGACACGCAGTGGCCGCACTGCCTCTTTGAAATGCCTGCGCGCTGACCTCAGAGCCCCTTTCCTCGGATGCTCATAACAGAATATGTACACGCGCGCGCAGGCCTGAGCCCGGCGGGGAAAAGGCGGGCCACCTCCACACGCAGACAAATGTGAACCCGTTGGCCCCAGAGGGGTTAAATCAAATGAAGTTCCAACGCAGAGGAGTGCCGACCCATGGCTGTGGGAGGAAGCGGAGCGAGCCTCCGCTCTGCCAGCAGAATGTGTCGCCCCCTCCACTCGTCGGGGGGACGCCGACTGGACCCGCCCGTCCAGCAGCCGGTGCTATGAAGCTTTTGTGCGTTTGCCGGTGCCCGTCGCAAAGTGTGAAGAAAATGCATCAAAGGCGACAGTGTTGTTGCACATTGAAGACAATCTTTCTAGAACATTGGAACAAGTTCAGACAAGGAATGTCCAAGCGATAAATGTCTTGTAGATACTGTAAGATAGTGAATAGGTGCGTATTTTTTGTTAACACCCGGCACCGGGTTTGCCCGTCTCACCCCAGTTATAGTGTTGCTGGTCGTGAACGCTCACTTCCATGAATCGTTGCTGTAAATAAACCACTCGATATGGCATAGTCGGTTTATTTCTCCCGTCTCTCCTCTGTTTTCACACTGAAATCCACACACAGTTCATGTTTATCTCTGCGGTGTCACGCCTCTCATGATGGAATTCCTGAGCTGAAACAATGCACCGATAGACGTGAGCTGAGCCGTCAGCCGCTCTGAAAAGAATCATCACGATGATTCCGAACAGTTTCAACTCTTCTCGGACCTTCCTTTGTTGCTAAAAAACCTCTTTAAACACCAACCAGTGCTCTGATGACAAAAGCTTGGAGGGAAAGAGTCCTAAATGGCTTTAGGTCCTTTCTGATAGATACTGATTTGAGTTGAACTGGGACAGGATAAAAGAGGTATCGAAACATTTACTACCCGAATGAGTTAAACTGTGGTCTCTGTGTGGTAAGAGCCACCCACCTTGCTCCATTTCTCTGATGCAGCTCGCTTACATCTTCAGAAACCAGGTGAAGCTGCTCCTCAGCCTCAGGTCTGAGGTGGGCAAGCAGAGACACCGTTACAGGGAGCAGCTGCAGCCCCAGCTTAGGTCACGATTACGGTCTGAGCCAGCAGAAACACAAGCAAGCAGGCACTTAGTGGGGCAAAAGGAGTACTTTAAAAAAACAAAATACAACTGCACAGTTAAACAATCCACCGAGACTTTCCATTCTCGCTTTTCGTGTATGCAGAGCAGACTCGCAAGCCTGAGTTTCTGTTTCCCTCCCTGGCCTACACCCTCCTCTCAAAACCCCTGACAGACAAAACAGATGGAGCGGTATTAATTCAAAGCCTAAACAATGACCACATGACAGGAAGAACAGATTAAGTATTCTTCCTCATGCTGATCTGAGCAGGAAAAAACAATGTTCTTCTGTTACGCGGGCAGAAAATTGATATTCAGTGGATGCATAGTCCATTTGGACTTGATGGATTCATGAAAAGAAGAGGAAAAGATGAAAACCATATTTATCAGTATCTGATAGACTGCACAGCGCATGTCCAACGGTCTGTAGTGTTGGGAAAAGCAGACTGGAGCTCCTCTCATGGCAAAAGAACAGTGTGGCCTGGCACTAGTTAAGAGTTGAACCTTTTGGAGAGTAATTAATTATGACACAAGGGAGTCCAGAGGACTGGAAACGGGTCTGAGAAAGGAACAAACACACAATCTGCACACTAGCAGTCTTCATGGTTGATAGCAAATCTTTGCTTCCTATTAAATACTGACAGGAGACCGGAACAAATGTGTTGAACAAGTCAATGTGGCTTGAAGGATTCAAAGGTAAAAATAATGGGGAAAATCATTTCCCCGGGACAAGTCACGCAGGTAAAAGTGATGCACTAGTCAGCACTCCACTTTCCACTTTCACTTTCTTTGCCTTGTGAAGTCCGTTTTCAATTTCCCTCAGCTTTCAGAGTCCATGATGAAGGTCTCAAAGTTTGGGTTGAGCTCGGACACCAGGGCGTCCACAAAGTCCTCAATGGTGGGCCTCCTCTGCAGCATACCTGTCTCAAACACAGACAAAATAGGGCAACAGGACAGTATTTAGATGGTTTTAGGAAAAGAAACGCAGCAGTGGCTGATATCAGACGGTTTTAAAAGCATCAGCAAATCAAAATCTTATATTTTTAAATGTCAAATAAAGCCGCTATGGACACAAATAGAAACAATGTTTACTCTGAGCATGTGGTGCATTTTCCCCATATATTTTCCGTATCGCCAAAAACATTATTACAGTGTGTTGTCCATTTCACTGTAGTTTTGGTCTTCATTGTGTTGCCCGTTTGACTGTGCTTATAGCGGTGATACTAAACAAACACACGCACACAGCCTGAATGTGACCAGTGTGGTGGAGCAAATGTGAGTGTGCGGCAGAGAGAGAGGCCTGGGAATGTCTGTGTGTTTGGAGAGCCTGTCTGCCAGCTCATGTGTAGAGGACTCCCTCGCTTGCTTTACTTTTCAGCTGCTCGCCGGCTTTGAAGTCAGTTCATTTCCCCTTGTGTTGCTGCCAATGTAAATAGGCGCCCTCCCCCCCCTTCCCTTTCTTTCCTGCATGGGTCACCTCCACTGAGCGCGCACACACACACACACACACACACACACACACACACACACACACACAC